GATCTTGCCGACGAGACGTACACTATTCTGTCAGGCGTTAGTGGGGTATAATGCTGTTCGGCCGGCGAGGGCGCCACTGACGCCTACATGTTAGGCTAGGTAGACTAAGGTTTTGTAGTTATGCTAGAAATGAGAAGACTGAGTAGTTCTACGTAAAAACATAGTATGGTTTTATTAGCACTATAAAGCAAACTAAAAATGTGAGATACTGAAGCTACAGAGGAAAACTTCAACAACATGGGGGGGGGGGGATGAATGCAAGACAAACAAAGCGAATGTAGCAGGTGGAAACTGCTCATCCCGAACTGCTAGAGTTCAACATAAACAAAACAAGTCAAACTAATAGGCTAATCTCTGATTGGTAAAAAATGAGAAAAGGCTGACACAGGATTGGTTGCCAGTAAAACGGAAGTTAAAGCAATTCTGTTGGCTGAGAGTTGAAATGTAAAAGTAGGAAATAATTTAGTATGGTTCGCTAAAATTTCATAATATTGTTTGCTAAGCAGATTATTATCGTAAACATGGGTGTAACCAAAGATACATAAAATCACTTTATTCCATATTGTATGTGTGTCACTGTTGCTTGCTGATTGGTTTGCTTCATACAGTGCCCTGAAATTGCCAGACACTGTTCGAATGAACACCCTGACAATTAAGTTGTCATACAAGGCAATAGTTGTCATTCATGGCCTCAATTTCAAGCCCTCCCATTTCCATCAATGAGTACCTGCAAATAGTTGCAGTAATAAAGTATTATCATGACTCTAAATGATAATGCTTATATAGTATGGCTATTAAAACTTTAATATTAACTGGCTTACTTGTTACAAAATAACTTACTCTGTAATTGACCCAGTGACATATTACAAAGGTCAACAATTATTGCTTGTCATCTCAGAGTATATGTGCAGCTGCACACGTTTTTATGAGCAAATCCCTATTTGATACAGCCAAATACATTCTCAGTTCCTTGTACTATTTTTCCACCCACACTGAAACTTTATATTAAAAATCTCAAAAACATTATGTTGTTATTGCAGGTGAAACATCAAAGGGTGTGCCAGAGACTTAGCTACAAACGTCCTGTATTTGATTCTGGTAGACAAAGAGCATCAGATTCAGATGTTCCATTCGGAGCCACCCTCAAACCCGGCAAAAAGCCCCAGGTACGTGCAGAAACAAGTAATGAGTTTGACACAAAAGATGCATTATGTCCTTGTCATTCAGTATGTGTTTATCACATTACATTTCAAAACAATGTGACAGTTGAAAAGTGTTTATAACATTTTCATTACTTCCCAAATGTTATCACTTATTCCATTTACAAATTGAAAGTCCATTTAACTTACAAGATAGCTACTCTTGCTTTTGTACAGCCGGTCAGATCCAAAAACAACTGGAGAGCAGCACACAAAGAGTTTGTCGAAACCATTCGGAATGCCAGGGCAGCTGTCCGAGCTATGCGAGCAGGTCAACCCTTGCCACCACCACCTCAACCATCTGAAAACCCTGGTAAGTTGATTATTAAAGTTGTATTATCTGCTAAATTATTAGTCCCCGTTCGGACGAAGTCCGAAAACCGGGGACTTATAATTCGGTCTCCGTCCGTGCGTCTGTGCGTCCGTCCAGAGTCATATCTCAGAATCCCTTGGACCGATTTCGTTCATTCTTTGCATGTGCCTAGTACTTTATGTGAGACATATGCACATGCAGTGGTTTAGCGATTCAATTCAAAATGGCCGACTGACAGCCATCTTGTTTTTTGAAAATGTTGTATTTTGGACATGCTTTGTCAGTTTTCATTCAAGTTTAGTACATAGATCATGTATGTTAGGATACATGTCCATGACAATGTCCCCGACCATTCCTGAGTCTGTCCATCCGTGTGTCCGTCCGTTCGAGCGTCAGTCTGTCCAGAGTCATATTTCAGAATCCTGTGGACCGATTTCGTTTATTCTTCGTATGTGCCTAGTACCTTATGTGGGACATATGCACATGCAGTGGTTTAACGATTCGATTCAGAATGGCCGACTGGCAGCCATCTTGTTTTTTGAAAATGTTGTATATTTTGGACATGCTTTGTCAGTTGTCATTGAAACTTGGTACATAGATTATATACATGTTAGGATACATGTCCATGATGATTTATTTCGCAATTGGATCAAAGATGGTCAACTGGCAGGCATCTTGTTTTTTTATATGCGGTATCTTGGACGTGCTCTGTCAGTTTTATTCAAATTTGGCACATACATGTACTTTATACATATTAGGATGCATGTCCATGACAATTTGTTTCAAAATCTGGTCAAGAATGGCCAATTGACAGCCATCTGACTTTTTGGCCTTACTACTATATTTCCACAATTTATGTACCATTTTCATTTGTATTTGGCACATACATCATACATATCAGTGTGTTTCATAATCAGATCAAAGATGGCAGAATAAAGGCTGTTTTTATTTTTGGCCATATTACTACTACACAGAACACGTGTTTTGATGTAAATAAACAATCTGTTGTATATGCCACTTGGAACTCAAGTTTCAAGGACACGCTCGGACAACCCCTCCGCTTTAATATGACTAGCACAAAGGGAACTTTCAAAAGTTTTACGGGGACTGTGTCATTTTCAATGACTTGTTTCAATTTAAAATCTTTAATATGTATATGTAGTAAAATGAGCCATGAACCTAAATCAGTAGTTGCTGCCTTCCAAAGTTATGCATGTTGTAACTCTGAACAACCTAAAATCAAGGCATGTAATGCCGTTTTGAATTCTGTATCAGAAGATACTAGGAAATGTGAAATGTTCTTTTGGATGCCATGGCAACAGGTGTTACAATGTAAGCAGGATGAAAAATACAAAGAGACGTGGGTACATCGGCAACCAATCCTGTGGGGAATGCTTCACATCAAATATTGATTAATTAAAAAGCTGCATTCGATGACACTTTAAAGCTGAATCAGAACCAAATCTACGAAAGTGATCAGTAATGTTTGCCTATTTGCAAAATGATTCTGACCTAGATATTTGACATATAGCACAATTGTTGCATGGTGTGTTGCACATACTACAACATATGTCAACGTGTACAAACGAAATATATTTGATAATACAACTTTAAAGGAACCGGAGCTGCTCCTACGTCTGATTTTAACCAAATTAGATACTACTGTAAACCGCTTTTGTTTAATTTTCAGGAATAAATGTCTGTGAAAAAGAGTGAAATTTTGTAGCAGGAAACATGACTTTCACAAATTTCTATACATAAATTACCACAAATTATCAAATTTTTCACACAATAATTAAATTTAGAAATTCATAGACAATGAAATTGATTCAATTAGGTACAAGCACTTGGATTTCTTTATATTAATTAATCCGATAATGGAACTAATTTTTCACAATTACCAGCTCTTTCCACCATGATGTGATTCCTTTCACAGATTATGTGTATTGCAACAGCTGCCATAGACAATTCAATAAACAGTCGGCTAAAAGACACATTCCATTCTGTCAATCACGTAAGAAGGAATTAGGTCAGCCCATCTCATTTGCTGGCAGATCTGTGAACAAGGGTTATGGCAGCAAAGACTCAGCTGGTAGAGAGGTGAATATACTTTGCTGAAACATCAGTACTGTAATCTTTTATCACATGAGTATTGATCTATAGTTAGTTTGTATGTCCAGTGTTATGCCTACAAAAATGATTACTAGTTGCCTACTTTTCCACATTGTCCAAATCACGCGTGGATTTGTGAACTTGATGTGAACATGTACTCCCAGTAACCTGTGTGTGATTATTCTATCTGAGAGGTCACATAAAATACATAGATTTGATAGGTCATGCGTCTAAAACATGCATCCAATCACAGTTAGTGTGCCATATGAAAATTTGGAAATAAAATGGTGGGATGTAAAAACAAAAGAGGGCACACTTTAAAACATCTTCACTATTAACAAGTTCTACCTTGTAGCTCTTGTCTGCAAGGATGTCTACCTTGCATGACAGGTTTCAATAGAAGCTACAAACTGCAAACCTAAAATACACTAATCTGATCTGATGTCAATCAAAGTTTCTTGTACATACTTCTATTATGTCTTCCTTTTTCACATAATTCATAAATCCTATTTGCAGTTGGAGTTTTGTGTGTGTGTACCTTTCTCAGTCATTGGTTGCCAAATGGGAATCTGCATAACTATTAACATAGTTCAAAATGTTCTAATTTGGCCAGGTAGATACAATGTATCATTGATAATGTTACATGTATTTAATTTTTAAAATTTCTTAAAATGAAAGGTTCTTTCATTATATTTTCATTGTCATTATTTCAGTTTTCCAGTATATGGCGAATTGTTTCTATTTGTATTTATCATAAAAGTGCAACATGTTTATGAGATTGGTTCATAACGTAACATTTTCTGTGGCTGCAATTATTACTGTACAGTACAGTAACTTTTAGTTTCCTTCATTGTTATCTCAGTATGCTAGATCTATTCCCAAACCAAGGCCGATACCCAGACCACGTAGTTCTTTATCTAACTACAGTAAGAAGAGTTCATTCACCAGCAGAAGTTACAAAAGTAGCAGGAAATCCACCAATGCACCGATAGCCGATCCATTTCAAGATATTCCGTACGACTATGATTCACCGATACCGACCAATCTCAGTAATGGAGTTACGAATAGCTCTCCATTCACATTTGGCTTGTACATGGGATCACATAGCCCAAGAGTCTACCAAGGTATGTACCCACAATACTATTTGCAGTTCAGTGTCAAATGTTGGCCCAGTAATGAAACATACATGGATTGTACAGATTAGTTGAACAGATTATCTGCCAACTTTTAAAATGCAACATTTTGCACATAGTTAGTTTGCCCATCATGTACGTAAATGATGAGAAAGATACATCAAAGAAAAATGTCCATTTCATAGTAATTGTTATTGTCATCCTGGTTATGAACTTTTACTATTTTTACAAATACCAAATTTTTAATCTGACCAATTTCCAATTTGAATATGTTGTTAATCAGCATTAATCTCAATCAGCATATAATATGGTTATTAAACCATTACCTGATTATTTTCAAACTTGTTATTCAACTTTAATTGTTTTGTTAATTGTGGATCTAATAGCCATAATTTCTCAATTTTAATTATTGACAAAAAAATTATGCCTGTGTACCAGTATGTTGTGAAAGTGGACTTAGGAACTCAAAGAGTTACAACATTTTGAAGTATTTTTTTCCATATGACAATTTCTGCACATTCAAATTGTGTAAGGATACACTTGGCCAAAACCCCACTTTTTGGCACTACCGGTATATTTTGTAACTGTGCTTATGAAAGTCACATGCATTAATTTTCTTTTCATCACAGATCAGCCATGTACATTTTCTGCCACTGGTTTAACACCAATAATGACACATGGGAATCAGTATGGAAAGAAAGCCAAACATCAAACTGGTCCTACTGCATTGAGAAGTAGAGCTATTAGTGCAAAATATCGGCACATGAATGGTAGGAAGTCTGCTCACCTTTATGATAGTGTAGAGAGCTCAGACTCACAAGAACAGTTCAAGTAAGACAATTTGAATAATGAACATATCAATCATTGTCCTAAGAAGTGTAAGACATAGAACAACGGTTTCTATCTTAATGGTGCACAACTAGTCGGATTATTTCATCTATCTATGCTAGTCATATTCAGGCAGCTACCTTTTTTTATCCTCACAGGATTCGTCTTGTGTAACTTGCTAAGGCCTAGATTTCCTCCAGATTTCCTGAAACAAAACCACAATGTACATATAGGGAGATACTGAATTGTTACAGAGTTATGAGCATAGAGTTACAAAAATGACCACGCCCATATTTTAGAAACCACTCCCACTTTTGCAAAACCATAAAATGTTAAACAAAAAAAAAATTTATGTCCGTAACTCAAAATTCAATTAACTGTTAATGCAATTTTGAGTTGCTAAATGTTGACGTTCAAAAAAAACAAAAATGTATGTTGCCTGTAACTCTTAGTTCGATTAACTGTTATATGGGCAATGACTTAATGTTCGTAATTCGATGTCCGTAACTCAAACAATTCAGATAACTTGTATCATTTCTTTGAAAATGACACTTGTGAAGTAGCATGGCATGACTGAAGAATGCTAGTTTGTAGTTTATTACATGGCAGAAAATGTTGAAAACTATAATATGAGGTTATTATGAAGACAGTATCGTCCGACTAGCAGTGGAGGTCGATGTGACAGCTTACTGTCTGAGTGCATACTTTGCGGTATCCTCGTAATATCCCGAAATCCAAAAAGTTTAGAACAGATTTAGCGAACTTCTTTGTGTGGAGTCAGGTCAAACCCTGGGGGCTGCCATGCTTTTTTTTTTATTATTAGAGGACATGTGTAATTGTTCCGTATTTATAATTTAGAACATTGATTATAAAAACTACTGCATATTTAGTCTAGTATACTGGTACTGATGCTCACATGTACGCATGCAAGTAATATTCACACTATAACTGTATTATTAATGTAAATATTTTTGGGCAATATAAACAATAAGACCATTTTAACTTTTCAGTGTTGGTTTACCACCTGTATCACGTGTGCTGAACTCAAGAAATCAGAGACGACCTGCTAAATTACCACGATACACTACATTAGGACCTGAGAGTAGTCTGAAGACGGGCAAGCTGAGAAGTATGGGTTATACTAGTCCAGAGTACGAGGACTACTGTAACAGATGTGGTGATCGATTCCCGGACACAACATCACGGTTCTGTTGTAATTGTGGTGTCAGACGTGGACTGGATTTAGGTATAACAACAGGGACATACTAATCAGGTAGCAGAATGCTACTTCAAAATTGAGGCATTTACTGATAGGCTGAAAACCAATCTCCATGTTAACACTGGAGCTAATGTTAGCATGGTTAGTTAGTGCCCAACATGGGCCTTTAACACCGCTTTTCTATTGTGGTCATTAGTTTTCTGTATGAATGATGGGGTCCCGGATGATCCTGGCCACCAAATTAAGACACATCGTTTGAATAAGGTAATGTTCACCAGATGTGAACTAACGAAGAGTTCAGTGACAAGCCACCACCACTTTGATCCCTTCCTATCCCACTCTACAAGACTTTTTCTATGCCCTGGGCTTTCTCCAGTCATATTTAGAATACACAACAATTAGTCTCAGCTGATAAAAAAAGTCTTCCCCTCTCCGTTCTATATTCTGTAAATTTATAGAAAGTTGATTAGAGTATACAGGAATCTATTGAGTTTCTTCTCTGTTAACAATTGTATTTGATACTGGTTATCATAATAATTTTTGATTCAGACTTATAATTTATTTAAACAAATTATAGAGATATATCCTGATGATTCAGTTATTTTTATACCAACATTTTTTTTCAATGTAAATTAATACTCAGTAAGAATATGTCTGGGGTTTTTTAGGTAGCAAGGTGCCGTTTTTAAACCATGACATTTTTTGTAGTACAACTGCTTTCAGTAGTATGAATTAAATATTATTTACGAGTAGTGACAGATAGAATTGATACGTTTTTTACGTAAATATATATATTAGGAAATAATCTATGTACAAAAAAAATAAATTTAGCCCATTCACTAAATTAAATATATTTTTCTTTACCATCATTTACTGTAAAATATACAGCATTTCAATGCTTTTGTACAAGTACAATCAAGAGTAAATATTTTTATAATATTAATCAAGCCGTCCATATAACTTTCAATTGTTTGTTTTTTTAAAAAAAAAATGACAATCATAACCAAAGACAGAAAATGACGTCAATACTGGTATGAGACAATATTTCTCATATACAACTTCAGTACTCCTAGACACGGTTACTAACCGTGTTCTAGATGAAGTGTGACCTTTAGGTGTCATGAGAGTATATGCAGGAAATAGTCATATCTAAATTATTTGTGATGCAGACAATGTGGCTGAACACGATTGGAAATTTAATATCTAAATATTAGACTCATGAGGTCATATGAGGAATCAATACAAATGATACCATGAATGCATTACATTGTACAGTTATTGTAACAGTATTTCTCCAATATATTTTGCAGCATCAAGTTTATACAACACAATTTTCCATGTAAATATAGAATTAACCCACAATCAAAATTTTCATTGTATTTTTCCGTAATTTGTCTTTTTTTTTTTTAACACGATACTTACTGAGAACCAACATTATGGGCTACACATCCATTTCTAGTGTAAAGATATCATGATTTTTAATAAGACTGTTAAGCTGCTGAATGTTACAGTTACAAATATAGATACAAAAAAAGACCACACCCATATTTTACAAACCACGCCCAAATTATAACTCAAAGTTATAACTTTCACTTTAACCCAACTGTGAGTTACGGGCAACATATTGTTTTTCTTTAACGTAACTTGAAGTTCGGTTAACAGTTAATTAAAATTAGAGTTACTAAATTTGAACGTAAAACAAAACAAGAAATCTATGTTGCCTGTAACTTGATGTTCGATTAACTATTTATTAAAGGTGGACGTTCAACAAAAACATATATTGCTCATAACTCAAAGTTTTGCTAACTGTTAATTGAACATCGCTTACTCAATGTATCTTAACTAGATGTCTCAAACTTTAACAATTCAGCATCTCGCTGTCAAGAAATGTTTAATTTATTTATACATTAAAACCCTTTGGTCAGACCAGTTCTGCTTTTCTTAATAAATATAGAAAAAGTATACTCGATCATTAAACAAAGACTCGTTTTGCACTACAAATAGTGCAAATATGGTACAATACAAAAAAAAAAATGTAGAATTAATATTACTAAACCATGAAGAAAACTTGGGGAGGAATTCTACACCAAAACCTTTCTTCGGATTATCCGAAAATATCCATGACTTGTAAAAGGTGTACCCTTTACTCTAGTTCATTAAATGTACATACATCATGTATGTATCTTACAATTGGGTTCACATTGTAACATTTTATAAGAATCAGAATAAAAGCTTAACACTATGTGCATTCTTTGTTCAATTTGTACACAAGATGAAAATAACACCACCTTTCAGTATGAAAGTGACGAGTGCTATATTTTTAGTTTCCAGGGAGCATTAATTTGGGTTCCGTGTATGTGTGCGTCTGGAGCCACATGTTTTGACCAAACACACTGACCATGTATGACGACTTGCATTTGCATGTCAATATCATTCATCCGATAAATAATAGCTGACTGATAATTAAACGTGTCACAGACTGCTTCTGACATTTTTGTTGTTCTTCAAGTCCATGCCAATTCCTCACTGATATATTGCCTTATTCAATAAAACTTTATAGATTGTTTAATTTTGTGATGTGATGTGATCAAATTTGTTGTATTTAACTGTCATTGCATTCCCAAAACTGCAGTCTGTAAAAATGTGTCTGGAATCCTTTCTTACAGATATAAAGACTTTGTATCATGATCATATACACTTGGTTACGTGGTTTCTTGGTGCAATTATAACCACCACAATTTGTTAGTCTATACATTGTCAATGCTTGTTTGTAATAATTTATCTTCTATCATCTTCTATTTACGACATAGAAAATATAACATTGAGATTTACTATAATTGTTCATGGAAGGTAATAAATCCCAATGAAAGAAATAATTCTGAGATATAAAATGTGGTTTCTCAAAATAGATGATTTTCTGTTCAACTATGAGATCTTGCATTGTGCGTGAAAGGTGAAAAAATCATGCGATGATTTGATTTTGAACTTGAATTTCATTCAATGTCGAAGGAAGTTCTTTCAGAGTAGAATATTCAATTGAGATACCCTTACTTAAAATGACTGTCATATGTGTACAGAAAATACTTCGCGTTTGTCAAATCTCACACGATATTTGACGCCACTACAACCTTTGTTTGTACTGTTTTAAATTCATTTAATTTCATGCATAAGGCAGGATCTTACAGTGAACAGAAAAACATCATCATGTACATCAGTTTGAAAGGTGTTTGTTGCTGGACCAGAAACATTTTTTTGCTTTAAACTGAGGTGCTGAAATCCCCTAACACAAAATCCTATTAAAATAAATAATCCAAGTTTAAAGCACGGTGGTCGTCGCACAGCGCGTGTTCGAATTTCATGTAAATAAACAATGTATTTTACATGCGTTGTATACGGCGCTATGAGTCCCATATCGAACAGGGCGCGGCACGACAACTGTTGTCCTTTAAACTTCCATAGATTTTGGTGTTTCAAGATGGCTGCTTCGTAGTGTATACTGTAACCATGCCAACAACTGACACACTCCTAGTACAGTGGGCACTGCACAAACCAATAGAAATATTGCATCAAGCAATTCAGAATTGTCTTCCATATGTCCATGAGATATAGCTGACTGGTATCCATGACGATTGAGTATACTGACTACCAACATAGGAGCGACAGATTGGGCTGGTTTTGTAAACAACGCATTGGTACCGAACATCATAGAAGACAGAGGTGATCTAGATAAAAAAAATTATGCATTTCAATTCCATTTCAAGTGGAAATAGTTGAATGAGCCCATAGCTATATTTTGGTCTGATTTCTTGGCATACAACACATAAAAGAATGAGATATGTTAGCAGTTAGACACTGTTTTGTATATCATGAAGGAACTAAAATAGCATCCACAGACTCGTCAGAGGCGATGTAGGCAATGGTTATTGTAAACATTGTTGATACTGACACTCTAAATGCAAAAGGTCACACTAGTTGTCACCTAGTGTTTATCAACATGCACCACCCATTTATGTACACCTTTGATAAGCTTCCAATTATTGTTTTAGTAAAAAATCAACAAACAAAACGAATGTTCTATGCGGTTGTTGTTGAGCTGAATTGATTTCCGCTGTAAGTTTACTTATGATCTTTTGTGATCCAAGTAGAATCACCTGTGTGTTGCGTACTCTTATGTAATACCGGTACTGAGAGATCAACAAAAACATTCTTCCATTACAATATCAATGCATAAATTTACTTACTTTCGCTTAAATCGGGCCGCATCATCGTCGATGATATCAGACAGCGGCATTTTGAAAAAGCTGAAAGCACAATAGGGCAGACTCCTGTATTTAAATAAATAAAATGCAAAATATTAAACAAAACCAAAACAAATATTATTTGCAGCCTACCAATTCAGCCTATTGTAAATTATTTAATTTAGCATTTTATTATTTAATCTTGTTGAGAGCACAATTTTCAGACTTGCAATATTTGCGAAAACTTATTAAAATTAAAGCAGTTCACAGAATATAAAACCTTGCTACATGTAATGTAACAAAAAACAAATATGACCATATTTGTCAAACCTTGATATGTTTTATGGATGCCCAGCTGGTAAGAAATAAGACTGAAAAGTTTGTTGACTTTATACTCTATAGCAGTTTCAGTAGCGAATCATTGCTGAAGCCTCATCATTTTCACTCATTCATTTTAAGTTTTAGGTGATGCTGAATTGCTTGACTTATGCACATTGAGTTACAAAAATGATCACGCCCATATTTTAGAAACCACCTTTGTGAAACCACACCCAAATAGACCATTTTCCATACACTGCGAGAATCACGCGTTATGCGTGAAATCGAACGTAAAAACAGGACAAACAAAGGTCATAGCGTCGTAGTGACGTCAAACATCGCGTGGGATTCAACAAACGCGAAAGTATTTTGGGGGACATTTCCATGCTTAATAATCTGTTGTATACATTTGATGATAGGCAATTTCAATTAAGTAAGGGTATTCGGAAGCAATATTCCTCTGTCGAAGATGGCCGGTCGATGTGAGCTACGAAATAAAGAAATTTGAGTTCAAAATCAAATCGTTCGATTTTTGCGGCAGACGTTTGACGCATATCTTTCATGCATCTTGCGAGATCTCGCAATTGTACGGAAAATCACATATTGTAACTTAATTGTTCAATTAACAGTCAACAGAGCTTTTAGTTACAGGCATCTAAACAAAAATGTATGTTGTCCCTAAACTCAAAGTTCAGTTAATTTTTAATTGCATATCAAGTTACAATTTGTGAGTGGTTTTGCAAAATTGAGCATGATTTTTAAAATATGGGCGTGGTCATTTTTGGAACTCTATGTTTTGCAACCTTATGTTTTGTAACTTGATGCTTGTAATTTGATGTCCGTGACTTGAACAATTCAACATTTCAAAAGAACTGATTATATAGAGAGATTTGTTTTCGCTACACTGTCATATTAATGTACAAGTTTCTGTCATTCACAGTAAAATCAACCAATCAAACACTCACCTATCCATGAGGAAGAATATCACAAGACACCATGTATGAGATCTTCCAAGACTGAACATTAAGATTCCAGTAATAACTTTTATATAAAAAGATATCAATATGACTTTATACGAACCAAATCGTTCCATAACTAGACTTCCAAATAATATTATAAGCACCTGTAAGACGAGAAAACAATGAATACTATTATTACATACTGTAAAATACTTTGGGATGAACTTTTTGGGTGTGTTTTGAGTTTATTTTCACTGATTTTTTGATGAGTTGAATGTAGATTTTAGAAAACAAGGTATATTCGCAAGATTAACTTTCCCATTTGGCATGTTTACTCTCAACTTCAGCTTGCATGATTGGCATTTCAACACATTTGATTTTAATGTTTGACAGATTTACAAGTGGACACATTTATCAGTGGAAACATTGCATGTTTTACTATACTCATATGTAAAAAGTACTCTATATTGGCCGATGATGTACTTAATATTGAAACAACATCAAAGGTCACGGCTTAAAATTTTGTCGAAGATAAAAAATAAACTGACTGGTGGTTCATATTTATTATTGTTGGTTTAAATCAAAACCTTTTGATAATACACATTATTATACATCTGTCACCGCCACCCCATAAGTTACATACAGTGTGCCGTAATTTTGCGGCATTTTACGAGGTATTTTATTCTACCATATAAGGAAATGCAAATTCCAAATATGGAATGAATACGCACGTAAGAGTCCTCTAATAATAAAAACAAACATGGCTGCCACAAGAATTTGACCGGAATCCACACAAAGAAGTTTGCTGATTCTGTTCTAAACTTTTTGGATTTCGGCATTCCTAAAGTGTATCCTTGGAAGGGAAAGATGTATAATAATAAGGTTATTATGAGGATACCTCCAGTACACCTGGAGTATCGACCGACATACAGCGGAGGTCGGCCGCGGCGTACTGTCTTCGTGCATTCTTTGAGGTATCCTTGTAATAACCTAATATTATTTTACATCTAGCATCAAAAACAATAACAATTGCCATTCCCTAAAAGCTGTATCAGCACACATTCTAAAACATATCTGCACTCATTGGACGTTTGAATTTTCCCTTATAAATTCTGTCACCTACACAAAACATTTTGGTCTTAAATCTTCCAAAAATAGTTGGATATTAATAAGATTATCAAGAGAATACTGCAAAGTATGTTCTCAGGCAGTACTGGTCACACTGACCTTCGGTATTCATTGTGCATACTTTGCAGTATATTCTTGTGATAACCTAAAATACAAATAATATGAAATACGTTTACCTTGGGAACCATGGATGATGATCCGTATAAAAACTTCCGGAAATAACGGCGACAGGTCTTCTGAGGGATTAAAGCATCACCAAATATGGCAAGGAAATTACTCCCAAAAGCAAGATGAAAAACTTGACAAAAATTCATTATAACAAACATTAAAAAGTTTTTTTCAGATATTATTTGCTTTGACAATTTCCATATACTATTTTCTGTGTCTTGGATTCTTGCGTTTGGGGTATTGCTTTCACCCTGGATTTTATAGTTAGTAGTTGCGTGGATTCCAGTGTAACGCATAAATATCCAGCTCAGAAAAGCTACATAGATACAGTAACACTGGAACATATGGAAATTATGTAAACTGTCCGAAAACAACTCTGCCCAAAGCACTGTGCTGGAACCAATCAAAGACGCACACTGGCCGTATTTAATGAGCTGAAGTCGCACACCATGCTGCTTGGACATTTCAGTAAAGATCGCACACTGGGCCAGAAGAACAAATGTAAAAAGTGAATCATAGAGACAGAGACTTGTGAGAAGATGTAATCCAACCACCCAATTCGGTGACTCTTCATACCCAGCCCATGGAAACCATGGCAACAGGAAACACAGTGCATATAGTGGCGCTCCATATAATATTGACAAGCGTCTCTCTTGAAAGATTTTGGAATTGTCTTGAAAGTAACCAAACAAGGGGTCATTAACTGCGTTCCAAATCATATAGATTGTCTGAGCTATGTTGAACCAATCCTCTGTAATCTTGTACTGGTTCAAGAACAACTTGACGTAGTAGAATTGGAAAACAGAGTTCATCATTGTGGAACCCAAAGAAGTTGACGAGTACACCACAGCATTCCATGATAACAGTGGTCTTTTTCCACGTGGTAACGACGACTCTGTCTTCAGCTCTGCCATCTTCTGAAATGAGAAAAGGATTTGTATAGCCGATATAATAGCCACCGTTTCTAAAGAACACAATATAATATAATTGCGATATGAACTTGATTAAAACGCATTCCTGTATAGGGTTGCGTTTTAATTAGGGTTTAATTAAACTCAATTACAATGCGATACAATGTAGAATCTCGTTTTCATTAGGTTTTAATTAAATAAAAGTTGAATATCCCTTGACTGAACATAGAAATGTTTGCGAAGCTTAGGTTTTAGTAACGGGGGAAGGTATATGGTACCATTATATTAATATTAATATAAATTGAACCATACCTTTCCCTTTTACTAAACCTAAGCTTCACAAACTTGACTTAAATTCGATATTAATATAAATTATGAAATATTGTGAGTCCCCATGTTTGTGGCTCTACTTGTACAAAAGGTTCCACTTTGTTGGTGTGTATCAGGACCACTGGCTCCACTTATATTTCTATACACACACACACACACACATACTTGTATTGCAATATGTTCCGAGGACTCCATTGGATTAACTTTTAATATAGTTGAATTAACTTTTAATATAGTTGCGATATGAACTCGATTAAAACGCGTTCCTATATAGGGTTGCGTTTTAATTGGAGTTTAATTAAACTCAATTACAATGCAATACAATGGAGAATTGCATTTTAATTAAGTTTAATTAAACAAGAGTTGAATATCCCGTGACTGAACATAGAAATGTTTGCGAAGCTTAGGTTTAGTATCGGGGTAAGGTATGGTATAATTATATTAATATTAATATAACGTGAACCATACCTTCCCCCGATACTAATCCTAAGCTACGCAAAACGTATTAATAATCGAATTAACTATTAATATAAATTATGTTTTCCGAGGACTATGAAAAAGGTCCTCGGAAGGTGTGTATGTCCTCGGAAGTAGCTATATATCTGTATTTTTGTCCTCGCAACATATAGCAATCCAAGCACGCACACGCGTGCGTGCACGCACGCACACACACACACACACACACACACACACACACACACACACACAGACAGACAGACAGACAAACAAACAAACAAACAAACAACACCCAGACAGAC